GCTATCATCCATGTCATATACACATGTTTATTCTTTTTCATACTTAACATTATATTGTGAGCGTGATCTTCCAAAACATGACTTTTAATGGCCTTATATTATTCTGTCACATAATTGAATGAATCATATCCCTAGTGTTAAAATACTAACCAATATTTTATGTAGTGGCTTGATAAAATTTTTAAACGCATATCTTTGATCACATTCCTGATTATTTTCTTAAAGTAGATACTACAAAGTGGGATTGTTGGATCAAAGGTTATTATTGTTTCTATAGTTCTTAGTATCGCCTGTTGTCAACTGCAGATTTAAATAGCATCTGTGCCTTCTGTGTCTTCATCAAAGTAATTAGTATAAAAAATTGCCATGGGATTGAAGACAGAGATTGCCCTTTAAATTGAAATGAATACTTTGAAAAATATCCTTTTGGACTGATTTTCCATCACTTAAAAATCCGGTTCAATATATCGTCACCTACCCTAGCTCACGCAAACCTCAGCTGTGTTATGCGAAAGGAGAAAATAAATTTTTGTTGTGTAAATGTCGGCCAGATGTTTGACAGTGGCTCCCATTGTGTCCTCGCAGATCAAAAGAGAGAGGAAAGCCAGGTGAAAACAGTTAGATTTGGAACTGATTAGATGACTGCATTGGCAGGACCTGCTGATTGGTGATTGGATGTTACCTGGGATAGAGCCTGTGGCCGGGAGCTTAACCCTGTATCATTCAAAATATTCGTTGACGGTTTGAGTAAAACATAGAAGCTTATTAACACCTTCGATAAGAGGAAACTGGGAGGTTGAATACATGTGTGTCATGACATAAACAGAATGCAAGATGATGTTTGCAGACTGCACCAGTGAGCCACAGCCAAAGAAGGGGGCTTGTTAATGAGGATCAGCGATCACCCTGTCCAAGCACAGGGTGGGTGTATTTTGACTGAGCAGGGCAGGCTTGTTTCACACATGGCTATGCTGTTGGACCTGTGAAAAGTGCAGAGGACGTGAGGTTGTACTCGTCGGGGTCAACAATGAATGAAGAGAAAAATACCGTTCATTAAAGAGATGTAAGAAGTAGAGTTCGAGCCTGAGAAGGGGGTGGTCTCACAGTCTCCACCCCTGCAGTGTTTTGCTTAGCTTGGTGCCAAATCGTGTATGGAACCCTGTCAGGCTAGAGCTCAAACAGGGGGCACTGATCAGTAAGCACGTAAGAGGGACGGTTGAAAGGACTGAGGATGTTTAACGCAGGGAGAAGAGAAAGGAAAAAAAAAAAAGAAAAGTTAAGAACAGAGAGGAAGATAGTAGCCTTCACAGTTTAAAGGACTCTCAGTAGAAGAGATTTCTTTTTTTCTTAAGGCTTTCGGGGGGCTGGGTGAGTAACACTGAGTGGTACCGAGTTGATGGTGACATCAGTACACACTGTGATTTTTAGGTCTGACTTGGGTTCTATAAAATGAATGGTTCTCTAAAAATCAATCTGTCCAACGGTAGGAATAAATTAATCACGGGAAGTGACTGAATAGAGATTGGACAGCCACTTATTCACAAGGATATAGAAACTATTCTTTTATTGGGTAGGAATACAGTAAATGAGCTTTCACTCCCTTCTAAATCCAAGAGTTTATGATGCTCCGACAGCATTTCTTTTACTGGGGTCTAAGGAATAATACTGTTGTTCCGTAAGATGTTAGTAAGTGTTCTGCGAGAAGAGAGTTCTCAGCATTAAAAAGGTTGGGATATATTGGATTAGAGTTAAAAACAAGTTTCATTATTTCAGGGCTTATTGGAGTCTTTAATATGCTGATATATACTGCAATGTCTAAAAAGAAGGGATTTATGAGATAGTTTCCTAAATTTATTTAAGCATGAAAATCTCTTTTTGTACCGCACCTATTAACAGATCTTAAATAGTTTGGTACATGATGACCTATAACTTCTTCATGGCGCAGAACCAGGACATTATCTCACCAAGGCCTCTGTGTGAAAAACAACCTCACTTTCACTTGTCCTTTGGTACAGTGGTGAGACTCGAGCCATCCAACTTTTTGGTGGTCTTGTGCTTCGAGTTGTTTTTCCTACCCCAGTAGAAGTTGGTCTGATCCACCCACTATTTCACACTCTCTGAGGTGGTCTCCTGTAGTATTGATGTCACCTATTTGTGAACTGCATGGCCAGAGGAAGAGTGGTACAAAGTTTCTGTGACCATGAAACCAAATAGAAGCACCTGTTGCAATTTTCACATCTTATTGGTCTTTAGGTGAATTTTCTTTTTCAAGTTCATTGTCTTTCTACTGTTCTAATACAAATACATTGTATATAATTCTTCTTATTCTCAAAAATAATGTACTAGATTCCAATGTCTATGAAGCCTAAACCGCAAGGCAGAGTCCAGTTCTGTTGCCTACCATCTGGGCACTCTGTCTTTCAAACCCTAGTTAAAATTGCAGTTGCATTGCACGGTGTTTTAGTTTGGATAATTTTCAAGAAGTGTTCTCACTCCTAACTTCAATGAAGTGAAGTGATCACATTTTAGTCTTTTCTTTTTTTGTCATGCGTCACAAGAGAAACAGAAACCAAATGCCAAAGCTTTTGAAAAAAATCGCAATTACACAGTAGATGACAAAAGAGTCAAAGGTTTCCAGTGGTTCGTGACAATCTGAAACACGGTGGGGTTTCTAATGAGGAGACCGGCAACGCTATTTTAGTCAGAAAGCGTGATTCACTCAGTGTTCTTTGGAATAGTTCGATCGCTTTGCCTCTCGTTTCCATGGTAAGGTTGCAGGGCTTGCTAGGGCAAATCGACGGTCACCGACAACGAAACTCTCCCCTGCGACTGCCGTAAGGGACTGACCATGAAGGTGCAGGACTGAAGCTCCGACCACTTTTGAGAGAGGAACATGACATCGAAAGACCGGTTATTTGAAATTCATCTCAGATTTGCAATGTCTTTTCTTTTTTAAGATTTCAGCATATAAAAAGAATAGCGAAGAATTGTCTTACAAGCTAGGATTTCTAAAGAGAGCTCACACTCTAACAGCTAAACGATGAAGTACTTGAACTAGAAATGGATGGAAATGCTGGAAGAACTGCACTGATGATATTTCACAGAACCAAAGAGTTTCCAAAATATTTTAATTACAACAAAACCAGAATATCAGGATGTTCTCCCAAGGAAGGAACATCATACTGTGATTTTGACTTTTGTTTATGGATTGGATTTTTCATAAATGTCTTCTCTTGAAAGGGAGAGTAAAAGTATAAGTATGTCCCTGTTAACCTCTGTAACATTTGTCCCTGAGCCTTTGATCCCACAGAGTTGACCTATCGCAGCAGCCAGGGCATTCCTGTGTAGAGTGGGCCCACATTTTTGTGTCATTTGATTCTTACTGTTTTCTTTCTCCAAGACATACATTGTGCCTTTTTTTGTTTGTGTGTTACTATTAATAATTCCTACTACAATGTAAATCTAATGAATAGCCAATAGACTTTCCTAAATTTTCTCTTCTCTCTTTTAGGGATTGATGCAGAATTGCAACCAAATGCATGCCTCCTACCTCTTTCAGCAAGACAAACATTACGACCTGTCCTACGACACTGGAGACAAGGCCCTACAGTGCGGACGCCATGTTGATGTCTTCAAATTATGGCTAATGTGGAGGGCAAAGGTGAGCATGCGCAGAACAGATGAATGACAACTAAAAACAGAAACTGTATCTGGTGACACCTATTATAACATGTTAAACAATTGATTTCCAAATGGCAAATTAGTTACCCAAAATTGTTTCTTTAATTCTATATCTAAATACCTGCATTCGACACAGGCAAGAATATAACCAAACTCATCGTTTGTTTTTGTCCCTTTTAAGCTAAATTGCTTCTAATGCTCACTCATGTCAAAAACACATCCAATCTGCCTTATATGGTAGAAAGCTTGATTTTTCGTAGGTGGTTGTCACTGTTGGGTTTTTTATCCCCTGACTCTTGGTTTTTATACCCAGTGATTGATCACCTGGATAAGGTTAATGCAATCTGAAAGTATGTATTTAGAGAATAAAAAAGGAAAAGTAAAAAGCCCACCATGATAGCTTATTTTTGACATTTTAATGGATAACCTTTAATTAGAAAGCTTTTTGTAAAACTCCAGCAGTACCTGACCACCTCCTTTTGCTGGGGTTCTCTGTTGACCTTGGAATTGAACTGTCAGTGATACCCCTCCCTTGGCATGGTAAACTCCGTAACTAACAGTGTGCAGCCCTGGCTGGACCTCAGTGTAGCCTTCCAAGGGCATACATCTGTGTCTAAATGAAGCAGGCTGGAAAGGTCAAAGATTTTAGTTTTGATCTTGACCAGATTTCTCATTTAAAGGTCACAAATTAGTGACATCCCATCAGGTTTCATTTATCTCTCAGAGGAGGCCATGGACAGACAGTCGTATATGCTACAGAAACCCAAATGCAAAGTGCATTCCAAGGAAACCTAACAAAGGAAAATGAGAAAGGGAGAGATCAAAAGTGTCAATCTAAACAACAAACAGAGAGAGGCCCTCTACAAGAAAAGATGTTTATTTGGGAAAAAAGCATTGCAACGGGAATAGTATGCCATAGTAAACTATGTGCGTATTCAGGGAGGTAAAAGAAGACAAAAGTTTTTAAAGAAAAAAAAAATGGGGAGGATTACATAATTGTTTTGAGATAATTATCCTTGGCTACAAAGATCAATAACAAGGATGACACCAGTCCAAGATTGAACAGGCAGTTGCTGGGGAGATGTCCTTGCAGAAGTATTCTTTGTGTAAGCTGGTAATGGTCTTTGTGCAAGGCTGTGGTTTTTGCAGTCTTCTGTGATTGTTTTTGCTGTCAGCCATACAAGCATGAGAATCTTCTCTTCGTGGCTTCCCTCACCCCCTCTGTCAGGGTTTTCTTGACATTAGCGACTCCATTTTGATACTGACAACCTTCCCAAAGGAAAGCTGATATGCCCTGAGCTCCAGTATTGGTGAAGAGGCCACACATTTACCTCTCAGCTTTGGCTCGAAGCCTACACAGAGGTAACAGGCTCAGTCCCATAAGAAAAAGCAAATAACTTGGTCAGCAGGGTGAGGTTTGCCAGGATAAGACCAGGGAGTGTGTTCTTCCCTGGGTCTGTGTAAAGAAGTAGGAACCGTGTCCACAGTGATGAATTTGACATGCCGTTGTTTATAAAACTTTGTAAACTAAAGTGCCTTAAACAGTGCAGATGGGGTAGGTGGCTAACGAGAAAAAGAGAGGGCTTGGGAATGAAACAATACAATCTGCAAATATTTTATGGAATCTTCTTTAAATCTATTCTGGAAAAAAAGGGCAATTAAAATAGAAAGATAGTCTTGCTCAAAGCAGAAATAACTCTTTGATGGTTTCCAAGGATGGCTGGACTACGTATCCTTTAAGGAAGCCTCTTTAATAGTATTTACCCCGGCTGAACTTTTTTGAAGTGTTGCTAAGTGTCAGGCAGCTACTGGCAGTGAGGCTCTACCGTGTTGCCCAGAAAGGGTGGCGTGAGGGGCTCCCTTTCTCTTTTGAAAGTTGGGAGCCTGAGAAGGACACGTAACTGGTCCCCACCACCCAACATGGCTCATTTTATTGGCAATGACACTTTCATTTGGCAAAAAAGGAAAGAAAAGAAAAAAATCAACAATATAAATTATTGGTGTACTCCCAAACTGTTTTGAAATGAGCTGGTTTTTCATTTCATTGGTTGGTGGGAATTACAAAATGATAAATGTAAACATCAGGCCATAAGTTGGGGAAACCTTGATCTTTAAATATTGTGCAAGTTCCCTCTGACTTCAAGCATCCTCTTTCCTGTCTGTTTCTCCTGTGGTGTTTTTATTAAGACGATGATCGCTGGCTGTATTTGCACAAAAATGTTTCTCATGCTTCATCAGTTCCTGCTGCTCTTTCTCCACCTGAAGCGCCTCCTCCAGCTCGACGCAGCCCTGGGTTCTCAGAGAAATAGCTTACAGCACATCGGGTGGGAACCGAACAGCAGGACCAGATGAAGCCTGAAATAAAGGCGAGAGATCCCGTCCTGACAGCGCTGAGATAAAGGCACTGGGAGAGGGGATGAAAAGAGGAAAGAGAAAAATCACTGCAGCTGCGTTACTCACAAGCACGTGATCTTTTAGTTCCTTGTGCAAAACCTCAAGTATCTAGACATCTAAATGGCAAAAAGCTTCCATTTGGTTTTCAACCTGAAGCTGCATTTGTTTTTTGCAAAATGAAATGATAATTATGAAAATAATAAGCTCAGTCCTATAATCTAGATCAGAGATAACGATAATTATACTCTCGCCCCAAAAGCCCCCATGGTGCCAGCCAAGGCAGGAGAAGGCATCCTCTTCCCTCAGGAAGGACCAGGAAAGAGCTGGCTGTGATGCTCTGTCTTGCATGGCCGCAGGGGTGGGGAGACGATGTGGAACTTGACAATGAGGCGGAGGAGCGTAGCGTTGACTCCGTGAACCTCTGTTATCAGAGATGCCTGGAGAATGCGATTTTCTCCACGTTTTCCCCACGTTTTCTCCTAAAATGAAACCACATAAAAAATAGTAACTTCAGTGTAAATCATTATTCTTCAGACTAATCTGTTAATGACTAATGAGGCTAAATGCGCAAATGATGGCCATGGTATTGAGTCCAAGACAACTCGATGAGAATAAATTTATGCAAAAAATGAGACTCCTGATTTGAGATGTGAAGAGGCTTCTAGATGGTACTAAGCCATGTAAGCCTGTCATTAGCCAAGGCACCGTGCCTGCCCCCAACTCTGTTCTTGCGGATGGGAGTGGGCCTTTCGTTTCATCTGCATTTCATTACAGAATTCTAGGACTTCATGATTATTTTCCATTTTGATAGATTTCTACAGTGGCTAAAACTCAGTGGCAGACAGAAATAAACAAATGAACCTTAAAATGACTCCCCCTTTTTAGGCCTGCAGGGACGGCTTAATATGTAGCAACCGAGGTTGCACAGTAAATCCCTGTTTTTGTATGTGGTTATACAAATTGGTGGGTTTCCTTGTGGTTTTTTATGATTGGCCTCTCTAATGAAAAATGTGGATAGCAGAGGGACTGGCAAATGGCTGAGGAAGAAATTATTAACAGCAAATGGACGTCTGGCATCCTTTGCTGAGTGCCTTAATGTTCGCTTTCTCTCTCAAATACGAATTTATTTTAATAAGTAGATTTTGAGCACCTGGTGCTTAGTGGGACAAGGGTGCTCTCATTTTTCCAGACAGGCTAGGACAAATGCACGGAGAGCTGCCATGTATTAATAAGATAGAACAGATCTGGTCATAAAAGAAACACAGACGTACCTGGAGAAGTTGAAGGACGGGGAGCTCATTACCAGTTTGAGAGTCAAGAAGGATGAATCAAGAGATGATCTCTGACATAGGGTTTGAACAGAAGAGGTAGAAGAGGCAAGATTGTAGTCAGCAGCACTGCGAGGAGGCCAGCAGGCGTCAGACAGGAGCCACAGTGCGTTCTCCAAGCCCGGAGCAGCGTCTCCACTGACTGAAGGATGATCTGGGAGCCACGGCCCAGATGAGAAGACGGACGGCCTGAACTAGGGTGGTGGCAGCAGAAATGGAGACGGTAGCAAGGGATTTAGTGGTTATCCCAGAAGCAGCATCTCTGGGCCAGGGAGCACTTACCAAAGGGTCGCACGAAGCAGAAAAGACTCACGACCAGCACCCGAGATGTCAAAGCCCAAGGCGACACAGAGGCAGTGGCCAACCACTGCTCGACAGTGAGCTCACGGAAGAGGATAACATGAGCATGTCCCTGTCCATCTTCCTGAAATGCTTGCTTGGGAGGCTGGGCGGGGCCTGAGAAGCTCCATTTTTAACACAACCTGGTTCTGATACAGATGGCCCCTCAGAACATACTCTGTAAAAACATGGCCCCAGGGCTTAAAAGTTGTACTTTCATTCACTCATTCATTCATTCAACAAACATACATTGAGCACCTAACATGCGCCCAGCACTGCCTGAGGTGTAGGGGATATACCAGTGAAAAAAGGAATAAAAATCTGTGCCCTCGCACAGTATGTGGTGTGGCCCGGTCTGTCTAACCCAGTGCCGCGTGTGTGAGCCGTGAGAGGGGCAATAAAACCGTCTTTCCCCAGAAGCTTCCTCCGTGGAACCTTGACACTGGGGTTCCAGCCCTTCGCTGAGGAGCCCCCATCTGGGCCCCCTGCATCCTTCACATCAGTTCAGGTCATGGTGTCACGATGCCTGATGAAGTTTTTTCATGTGCTTTGTCATTATTAAAATAAAACCCATGTGGCGTATGATGGCTACTCAACAAGTATTTGATGCATGAATGAATTTTGAAGACTTTCCTAAAAGCTTTCAGAACCTTGAGAATGAAATATGGATCTAATTCTCATAAATATCCCGGGAGGGGCCCCCAGGCTCCTGAGGGGGTGCTAGGTACCTCTTCAGCACCCAGCTAAAGGGGTGGTCACGTCACTCCTGATCAGCCCGTAGTGAAATCGTAGACCTGCGAGGGCTATGGGACTCGCCCTCGGATCTGCAGTCATCCCACTGCCTTCACAGGGCAGTCAGACTCTTTCAGAGCATCTGTTTCACCCTGCTCTCTCCCTGTGTGGGTAATCAGAGGGGCGGCCTCCTTCCCATCTAACCACAGAGATTGCCAAGGCCACACGGCTTGGCAGGGCTGGAGTCTGGCTGCTCCTGGCCACAGCCTAGATCGGATACGTGAAAGTCTAAACCCAACTCCAGACTGGTCCAAAGGACCCAGTTTGGAGAAGAACAACTAGCTTCCCTCTCTGCTCCTACAGTCCATCCCAAGTGGACCCAGGCTGCCAGGTCGGTTCAAACCAATTCTAATTTCCTGAGCGCCCACTGTCCCATGGGGCCACGGTGCTGGCCTGAACACGGGGGCATCAGGACCCGCCAGCTTCCTGAGCCAATCAGCTGGGGCAGCGATCTCCAAAGAAACAAATTTCTGAACCCATTAGATTTCTCCAGTGCAACTTGTTCTTACACGCTACATTTGTCACACACCACTGGGCCATGCTGGGCCCCTACCTGAGCCATGTGTGAACAGGCAGGTGGCCCGTCTCAGCCTCTCTGCGGCCCACCCTCTAGTTGCAGGTCGGCTGAGTTACTGGTAGGCTGGTTCCAAGTGCTGCTGGGATGAGCGTTGGCTGTTTTCCTAAGCTTTCCGTTAGCACTCAGTAAATGCTGATGGAGGTAAGAGAAAAGCCATTTTGAGAAGTAAACCCCTCGACGTCCTGACGTCAGTTAAACAGCTTCAGTCCAAGATGGCTGCGTTGATTTTCCTAAGTCCAGATCCAGGGCTTTCAGAGCTGGAAACTGCAAGACCTTTGTGAGAATGTTCATCCGTTACAGACACGTGAGTCATTTACTTGTCACCAAAGGAGAACGCTGCAGAGCCTGGCAGAATGCTAGGCTGACGAAGCCTCTCCGAGCTCCCAAAGATTCTTTCATCCATTTGTTCAGCGAATTCATTGAGCTCTACCCTGCTTGTTCTGGGTCGGGTGCAGGGACAAACAATGCTAGGGTCTGGGAGGGGCTAAGAGGCCTCCTGGGGTCTCTGATGATGCTTCTTGTCTGCAGGAAGAGAATAGCCTGGCCCTCTCACTGTTAATGACTTCCGTGATTACTCCTGTGAACAGCAGAGACAAATTTTCCGCTTGAGTAATTAAAATAATTGCCTGGGGAATGGAGGCTCTGGAAGAAACGGAGTCTGCAGCAGAGAGCTGTAATAAAAGGGGACGAAAGCACCTGAGGGCGAGAGCATGGAAGGGAAAGCAAACGCTGGAAAAGCCGGGAGGATGAGTCTTGGGGCGGGGAAGTGCCAGAGCGGTGCTGGCACGGAAGCCACAGGAAGACGGTCATCTGCAGGGAGTCACTCGTCCCACGTCCCCAGCCTGTCTAACGAGCTTGTTCCTCTCTTTCTTAGGGGACTACCGGGTTTGAGGTGCACGTTGATAAGTGTTTGGAGCTGGCAGAGTATTTATACAACATCATAAAAAACCGAGAAGGATACGAGATGGTGTTTGATGGGAAGGTACGTACTCAGATTTCTACAATCCCCAAAGTTTAGTCAACTCCAGTTCTTCTTGCTGACATTGTTTGGTGTGAATGACGTGCCGTCCAGGTGAGTGGGACCATCGCAGAGGGGGGCGGTGGGTGACGGGTAGCTCTTCTGAGCTGGAATAAAGATCAGACTGGAAAATGATTCCGGATCCTGTTGGGAAAGTCAGGCCCTCCAAAGGCAATTCCTGACTTAAAAGTGGGAATCAGATTCTGAATCTGCCAAATAAATAGATATGAAATGGAATTTCGAAATTGCCAGTTTGTGCTGGGTGTGAATCTTCCTCTCCTCTCTGCAGCCTCAGCACACAAACGTCTGCTTCTGGTACGTTCCTCCCAGTTTGCGCACCCTGGAAGACAATGAAGAGAGAATGAGTCGCCTCTCAAAGGTAAGTGCTCCACGCTCCTCTGATCTGCGTGTACATGGGGCCTTTCAAGCGTGTGTCTTTATGACATGCGCGTACGTCGTTAGGAGAGACCTGACCTTGGTACGTGGGTCCACTCCCCTCTGTGGGCTCCTGCAGAGCCGGGATGCACAGAGCCCTGTATAGCCAGACTTTTAACAACTCTATCTGCCTGTTTTCTGAGAGCGAGTTTATGAAGTCTTAAGTAATTAGGTGATAACCTTTGCTGGCATTCACAAAGCAGCAAGAACCATGGCTGAGGTTGACTCATCTTCCAAGCAAAACTGGTGCTCAATTACAAGCACAAACAGGCTTCAGGTACCAGAAATGATCAGAAAACTGCGTGGACCTTCTTGAGTTGCCAAAGATCCTGTGGGGTCTTTAGAGCAGTCTCGACCCCAGAAGGTAACAGGACAAAGAGCAGTAAAAACAGCCACGGTTTAGAGTGTGAACTGTGTCCCAGGCTCAACTTTCATCAGGCATTAGATCACTTAAAGCCTCATAGGAACCAGATGTGGGAAAGACTATTGCCCCATTTTGCTGATAAGGAAACTGAGGCACAGGGAGAAAAGGTAACCTTCTCAGAGTCATGCAGAAAGTCTGACTCCAGAGCCCAAGAGCTCAAGCCTTAAATTCTGCTGTGATCAGTAAGACGCCTTTACCTTCTGTCCTCTCCTGCTCACAACACGGACACTGGGGTGGACATGGTTCACGGCACACAGCAAAGGGAGCCCATCCCCCATGGTGCTGCGGGAACAGGAAACTAAGGATGGTCATGTGTATTTGGATCTCAGAGGGCTGGTTGATGGGTTTGTTTTGGGGTTTGTTTCATTTATCGTAAAAGAGGGAACCTCCTCCGGTCACTAGACTACCTCACTGACCTTTCCAAACATTTTATTTCCTCCTATGTAAAATGAAGAACAGGATTTTGTGTGGATTTAAAACCTTCAGAAAAGCTTTTAAATGTTAACACCTGCCCTTAAGCAACCCTGGATTAAACTCTTCATCAGGAAGAAACCTACTCATGGTTGAGGTCTTTAAACCAAGCCTGCTAATCAGAGTAGAGATTCGCAACCCTGGCTGTGCTTTAGAATCATCCAGAAGCTTTATAAAAAACACTGCTGACTAGGTCTTACCCCAAGAATTTAATCAGATTGCTCTTGGATGGGCCTGGGTATGGTTCTAAAGGTTAGGTAGGTGACTCCACTGTGTAGCGCAGTTTACCCCTGACGTAGAGGAATGAATGGAAGTTTCTAGAACTGGCATCCATGAGGCACGTGTCTGGAGTGGGAGGGGTTATGGTTGTGTTTGAAGTTTTAGTGAAGATGATTCTTTCCAGGAAATCAAGCCCAAGAGGTGGGAAGGAGGGTATGGAGGCCACATTGGACAAGATGATAGTTGCAGCAAGAAGAGAGGGCTGCAGTCATTTGAGAGGGAAGAATTCATAATTTTCCTGGAATTTTTACGATGTAGCCTATTCATAATGTAAATTATCTTAACAATGACAAATTTTATTTAAGCAGTTAGTTAGAAATTAGATATTTCCATTCTTATTGCCTTTGACTTATTTAATGAACCAACTGACCAGATAGAGGATCCAAGGAGTGGTTCCGCTGATTTCATTTGTTGGATCAGTTCATGATCACTGGGCCAAGGGATGGGGCAGGATGGGAATACAGGACAAAAAGGGGTTTTGTTTCCGTTTTCTGAGCAAAAATCAACTCTGAGTCTCCCCCATTTAAATACAACTCTGCAAATACCTCTTAGATTTTAGCACATCACATAAACTGTGATGGGGATGGAGATTGTTTCCTGGGGACAGCAATCAGGGTATTCATAAACTGTTTTTAGACTGTTGGTAATTCAAATCTGAAAGTCTCTGGGGACTGCAAACCGAATTCTCCTGATTTTTCTCTCTGTTCGGACTCTATTTTTATTACTGTAATAGAATTCAACAATTTGGATTTGGAAATGAAAGTAGAACCGCATGAATTATCAAGGTTAACTTTTGTTCGTCTATGTCAATAATTCTTCAGAGTTTCAGAAAAGTTTCTTATTAAGCATGAAGCCCTTAAAATATGATGTCCAGGAACCAGTAAAATCTTCACACACACACACACACACACACACATGCACTCCCAGAGGGAAATTGCTGAGGGGGAATAACCTGTACTGTCCAAAATGATAGTAAAAGCCACATGTGACTATGTACATTTAAATTTAAATGAATCAAAATTAAATTCGACTAAAGATTCAGTTCTTCAATCCCACTAGACACATTTCAGTTGCCCAATATCTGAGCAGTGGCTACTGTGTTGGATAGTGCGAGTATAGAATGTCTCCATCATTGCTGATGTAGATCCAGAACAGGAGAGAAATGTGGAGTCTCTGTGTAGCGTGTGGGAAATGAGAATGAAGTTAAATTCTGGACAAGACAAAGCAGAGAATTACCCTTTCTACCCTCTTGCCTGGTACTTGGCTTTAGCATACAATAGGCACTCAAAAGAAACTTTTCTGAAACTCTGAAAAAATTATTGACATAGACAAACAAAAATCATTTGTTGAACTAAAGTACTGCCTTAGTCTGTTCAGGCTCCCAAAACAAACTACTAGAGACTGGGTGGCTTGTAAACAACAGGAACTTACTTGGCACAGTTCTGGAGGCTGGGAAGTCCAAGATCAAGGCACTGACAGATTTCGTGTCTAGTAAGGGCTCACTTCCTGGTTCATAGACGGCCTTTTATTCACTATATCCTCACATGGCAAAAGGAGGCAAGGGAGTTCTCTGGGTCTCTTTTGTAAAGGCACTAGTCCCATTCATGAGGGCTCTGCCTTCATGGCCTAATCACCTACCAAAGGCCCCACCTCCTAATATCATCACATTGGGGGTTAAGATTTCAACATACAAATTTTTGGAGGACACAAATATTCAGTCTATAGCACATACTGTTTGCATATTCCAGAATAAGAAAGGGAAACAACATTTAGGAAACCTGATAGTGGCCATAGGCCTTTTCCCAGAGTACACTAGCTGGGGACAGATATCTAGATCAGTCACGTCTTCACGAGGGAGGTAAAGAGGAGAACCAGTCGGTGCATTTCCTGCTGCCCAGGCAGGACTGTGAGTGTGCGGGTGGCGTGTTGTCACTGAGGCAGAGGGAGAATTCGTGGGGCGCTGTGGGGGTGTGACCCACACAAACGCCTTAGACACAGGGAAGGGGCAGCAAGGAGACTCCGTGAGGATGTTTATCAAACAAGAATCAAAAATTCTGGTCTGTCAATCACTTCTTGTGTTTCTGCTTCTTCTTCATCATCATCTTTTTCTTCTATTTTAATTTTCATTATTCTTGATCATTATCTGCATCTCTTCTGTCAGCCTTTACAGTCCTGCACTGATGGATGGACTTTCAAAAGGTCAACAATGGGTTTAATACTAAATCGGTAAGGAAGTAGTTTGGGCTTATATTGAAGGTGACTTTTTGAAAGTTTGTTATCAAGTATCATGAGGAATTTAATTGGTGAGATTTTAACATTTCAGAACATCTTATTTATAGTTAGTCTACTTTTTCAATTTTCAAAATTTTCTCTCAGGCTTCCAAAATTTAAAAACAAAGAGGTTTTCTAACACATAGTGAAAAATACCTTCCTATAATGATAGCTTGTAAGTTGCTTTAATATGAGCCTTGTTTGGAGGAAACAAATGTGGATTGCAATTACAGAAGGGTCCCTTGGTTATTATTTTCTAAAAGACTGAAAAAGCTAATAGCACAAGAGAGAAAACAACACCATAAAACCCTTTAAGATGGCCCAAAGAGCTCTTATTGTGATGAGGCCTTTAGTGAGTTCTTCAACAGGCAGCTTCTCTCTTTCTCAACTGACTGTTCAGCAAAACCAAGGATCCAACAACAACCCCCAAAAAGCCTGGAAATATGTGAAAATTCTATATATTCATCATAATAGTCAGAATCTTATTTTCCTTCTCCACTTACAATTAGTGAATACACAATGAAGTAGATGATCCATGTTCCCGCTAAGTTTAGTTCATCAGCATTTTCTGGACGCAGCCAAAAGTCATATGTGTTTGGACAGCTGCAATTTCTGCCCACTCGGCTTGCTTCAGGAACAGGGGATTCAATCTCACTTTATGCCAAGATCTGTTGGGAACGTGGCTGTTGACATTACTCTTTTGACCTTTGATTTGCATTCATCTGAAAAGTTAGAGATAATTGTCCTTAATAATTAGTGCCATTCTTGTGTGGTTTTGCTTGGGTAGCCAAGAAAGCTAAAGAGGAATTGAATTCACTGAGTAAAGTATTGCCATTATTTTACCAGTTCTGAAGAGCAAACACGATTTTATTGCACAGATAAAACTAAGGAATATTTATGTGACTTTTCCTTGAATTCCTGCAGCCACGTGGATTTGGAATTACTTTTCTAATTTGGGATTTCTCTTCTCAGGGACCACCTAGACTTGACGTGCCTTGCAGCACAAAGTAATAAATTTCATGCCCCTTTGACTAGAATATTCTAGTAGATTTGTTTCCAGAACTTAATCCCAGACTTAAGATATTTAAATTATTTTTTATATTTATCCCTTGGGATGAGCCTGATGCTCTGCATGTGTTCTAATCCCCTACACAAAAGAAGGACCAACCCAACAGAAACACTCCTCTTCACATCACCTCCCCATGGGGCAAGGAAGGGGCAGGAAGGGAGGAGGAACTTGTTCATCTAGAATCAGAAAATCCCAGCGGTGGCTGGAGTCGTCATCCGCATTCACTTTTAGATGAGGAAGTTAGGTTCAGAATGTGAGGTGTAGGTGAATGTGACGTCCGTCTGTTGGCTTTCTCTTTGGTAACTAACAAATGATCAGGCCTGATGGGAACCTGGCTGATTTTGTGCATTGGGTACTTTGAAGATGAAAACCTCATTGTAAACCAATGGTTATTTAAGAGCTGATATTCAGAAGTCACATGTTCGTAACAGCATTCCATCTGAATCTATCCTTCATTTGAGACGAATTCGTCTGTGATGTAAGGCACGTCCCCATTTTGAACTGAGTTTCTGACCATGTATATACCTCAAACAAGTCTGAAGATTCTCTGATGTCTACCATTCTATGTATTTGCAGCACTGAACTTAAAGGATCAAATGTCATATTTATAAACTCCAGTGGTAAATATATGTGGACAGATCATACCTACAGTTAGATGTAATTTAAATTCATGCCTCTTCCTAAATTATGCTACTCTTTATAGTCAGCAAGAATTCAGGAAGCTTCCACATGTACCCAGCACTATGCTGGTAAACAAAAGAAGTGACACTTTGTCCACCCTCTAGAAATGTGTTTGCTCTTAAGTAAGAGGATGGTAGGAAATCAGTAGATAGTCAGAATCTATGGGGAAAGACTCATTATTTACAACTTAAAAGAAGAGAGATTCTAAGGGACTGAGAAGTCAGCAAAGACTTCCTAGCAGCTGCGAGACTGCGCTGGAGTCTTGGAGTGTGTGCAGGATGTGAACTGGAAGAAAAAGGGCATTCTAAGCAAAGAGAACAAGCGTGACATGGTACCACTGATGACAAGTGCGAAGGGATAAGGATACAAGTGGTACATTCAAGGGATATTTCATAAAGGAGTCTTGTCAGAGCTGAAGATGCATTTTGGTGAGCAGTGGAAGATGAGTCCTCAGAGCTGGGTGTTGAGCTAAAGAGTTTAAATTTAATTTCACACACGGTAGAGAACTACTGAGGCTGTAATCAACAGGCCAGCACAAATACAGTAAAATCTTGTCTGTGATACGATACGTGATGTGTAACACATGCGTGTTAAGTCCCTGTGGGTTCAGCTTTTGCCCAGATGATTTGTCATCGTTAAGGAATACCTTTCAAAATACATTATAAACCAAGGCAATGCAAACCGAGAATGAGAAGAAACAAGCTTTAGGGTCTTAAGAAAGTTGCCACAAGTCTATTTATCTTCATATATCACTTGATATTGAAAATTACCTTTTGGTGACAATTCTCTGAACTATCTCTTATTTCAATGTTTTTATATTGGCTGGGGGGAAAAACTCCCCCAAATGTTGTATTGCTAAACTGTTTAGCCTTGAGGCCACTACCAGATTCTCCCAAAACTTTAACTAGAAAGTCAAGGATAAGATGGCAAACACGTGATCACCTACCATTTCTTACTGCTCTTATCATCTTCAGGGTCTTGAATGTACTGAACCGTTGTAGTCCTCTGGTCTCAAGAAAACTCAAGGCAATTCTTTCGAGAGAAAATAAATATGGTTCTGATTGTTTAGTTAAAACCTAAAACTGCTGCTTGCTATTGGGTTCTTTGACTAAGGGGAACGTTCCAGGAGAAACAGTCACCAGGCTGATGTGCTCTCTCCCATAGGTGGCGCCAGTGATCAAAGCCAGAATGATGGAGTATGGAACCACCATGGTCAGCTACCAACCCCTGGGAGACAAGGTCAATTTCTTCCGCATGGTTATCTCAAACCCCGCAGCAACTCACCAAGACATTGACTTCCTGATTGAAGAAATAGAACGTCTTGGACAAGATTTATAATAACCTAGCTCACCAAGCTGTTTCACTTCTCTAGGTAGACAATTAAGTTGTCACAAACTGTGTGAATGTATTTGTAGTTTGTTCCAAAGTAAATCTATTTCTATATTGTGATGTCAGAGTAGAGTAGAGTTTAAAAATCAAAAAAACATTGCTCCTTTTAAAAATCCTTTCTTAAGTTTAGAATACCTCTCTAACAATTAGTGACAGAAGGCTGTGTTCTAATCAATAAGGAAAAGCTTAAAGTTGTTATAAATACTTCCCTTACTTTTAATATAGTGTGCAAATCAAACTTTATTTTCACTTCAGAGTAGTAGGATTGAATAGTGCCAAATTGCCCCTGAATCATAAAAGGTTCTTTGGGGTGCAGTGAAAAGGATATAGTAAATATAAAATGTATGTTGACAATAAAAACTCTTGCCTTTTTCATAGTATTAGAAAAAAAATTTCTAATTTACCTATAGTGACATTTCAAATGTATTTAAATACATATAATTTTACAAAAAGGAAAATATATATATTAAAAAAGAAATCCTATTTTGTAACATATAGATTTTTATTTTATATGGGTTATACAAACTGCAGGGGCAGATATAAAAACTAAGCCAGATTTTTTTTTTCTCTTTCTTTTAATGGAGGCACAATAAAACAGCGAAGTAATTTTGAAGCATAGGCCCACAAAGATTCTTAAAAAGTAGGATTCCTTCTTTCTATACATGTTATAGCCTATTACATCTCCAAAGTTAGTATCTCAAAACAAGCACAAAAGAATACTGCAAGTTCTTTAAAATGATTGATTAGATTGGCAATAACATTCTCTTCCCATTTAAGTTTTCCACCCACTTGACCCTTAGCAGACACTGTCTGCCAAGCATGAGGAACCAACCAGGCTTCATCTTAGATTAAATGACGGCAGTCGTCTCTGTTGGGCTTTCCACTTCCGCCTGTTTGGACAGGAAGTTGATGCTGGTTCTTGAGGTGTCTTCTCAAACAGTATTCTTTTATTAGGCCATTGGATTAATTAGAGAAAAATAAAAATTAAATCTAATCAGCTTGAGCAAAGAGGAAAGAAGCACGCTCCCAGAATGTGGTGAGCCCAGAAAATTAAACTTGGCTTTGGGAGAAGAGATCTCTGTGTGACAATAATGACATCATCCTGGGTGCCACATTGGCAGTGTCCAGGAAGGAGTAATTTACCTCCTGGGTAGTTGCTTATTTCCATCCCCTCCCCATTCCAACCACAGAAGTCTCTCCTGCTAGACTCCCTCTCACTGGATCCCAAATAATTTATATTCCATGGGTGATTGTTTCCCTTTCATGAAATGAGCTCCTCCCCCTAGATTTTGAGACATCATCTTAAGACCTTCTCCTATCTGTCTCCCATCAAGATCCAAAGTGACCAGTATACACAGAGGTAATAAGATCCTGACAATCCCAAATAATATTTTTACAACATCCTTCTTCCCCTGCAAACCTGATGGAGAGACATGAGCTAACAAAAGCTTCCATAGATATTTAGGAGGCCACAGATTGTCAGATTCCAAGTGCTGCAGGAGAACTACAGACTTTTAAGTGGAGACTGCAAATAGTAATTTAGAAACATTCACCCTTTGGTATGGACCGGGCAGTTCACTGGGCAGAAAGACTATACAGGTGGACAAGTGAACAGAGAGGGCGCTGTCCTACCACAGATAGAAACGTCCTGCATATATCCACAGGAGCCAACCATCTGAAATCTGCACAGGCTTGCCCCTGCATTATTTCTCCCAGGTTACAAACAAAAACACTGATGCTTGATATGAACATGGCTTTGGGCCCTTTCTGTCTGGAAAGCAAATGGATTCACTGTGACGAGTAGAAGTAAACTCTATCTGTGCTGCGGAATTTCATGAAGGAATAGCCTCTCGTTCTAGGCTTTGTCCAGTGGGCAGGATCCCTTTCCTTTCTAGGAACTGGCTGCTGAGAACAAGCGCATAGCTGCCCATCTGTCTTGAGCCTTGGACCCAAAGGTCCCATCCCAGAGGCGGAGACACTAACTGATCCAACCAACCATCCTGCTTGGAGAAGACGGCGCGGCGACCTCTGTCCACTCAGGATGCTTGTCTCATGGGGTATAGATCCTAGATCATAAAGTGCTGCATTTCAGATTGATGAGATGACAGAATTTAATAGGACAATTTGTGCCTGTGCATGAAATTCCAGCAAAACAATTTTAACCGATAGGTTCAATTTGTTTTAACCACTCCCCTGCAACTTCCGGATCCTTTCTGAAATTTGCCAAGAGCCTTGCTCAGACCTCTGCGGGGAAGTCCTACCAACCACAGCCCAGGGAAGGGAGAAATAAAAGCCTAGTGGGTCCCAGTAGTTTAATAAATATTCCTTAAAGTAGGTCTGTAATCTGCTCAGGGAGAGGGAGGGACGAAAGGAAGAAGGAAGGAAGAAAGGAAGGGAGGGAGATTGTTTTAAATATTAGTCCAAATTCCCAGTGCCAAAGGCCATTATGTGGGACCATCCTTTGTAAATTTTAGAAAAGTTTGGTTTTAGCTTTAATCTGAATTGACATGGCCATTTTCATTTACACAGCAATATTGTGTTTGTTATTTAAGATACTTGAAAAAAAGTGTGGTATGTCTTTATCTGAGACCTAAACACGGTGTGGACTTCATGTACTGTCACAGGGTGTGAGGAAGGAAAAGGAAATCAATTGTGTGTGACTGTGCTGCCTTTATTATATTGATAGTACTGTCTCGTCACCTCAAATTGGGGTTGTGCACTTTAGATCTGAACTGTACAGTGTTGCAAATCAACATGTGTTTCTGTGAAAGCTTGTACAATATATTATTGGTCTTCTTCCGTGTGGTAGCTGTATTGAACTTGGATATTACGAAAACTACATTTGCATCTGTTGCTGTTCTCGCTCTCTCTCTTTTCTAAACTGATGCCCTCCGTATCAGCTCTAATAGAGAACACGCCCCCAGCTGAGCCCCGTACTGAGAAACCTCCTTTGAGAATTGTGTGATTTCACAAAATGCAAGGTGAACTCTACTTTGTCTCTAGGAATAGAAGAAGCCAATTATGGAGTGTCACAAACTGCCGAAATCGCAGGTGTTGACTCTGCTGGGCATTGGAGTAGGTGCTACTCCTCAAAAGATGGACAAAGAAATGCAGGTGTAAATAGAGTAGCAAGACAAGGAATCAAGGAACCTCAAACTGGGTATCATCTTGCACGTGCTCTTCTGTTTTTAAGTGCTAAATGCAAACACTGTGTATTTATTAGTTACGTGTGCCAAAATACTGTTCCCAACTGGTGTTTCTGAATGACATTGACATTTCCCCAACATTATTCCATTACTAATGACAGAAAAAAAATAAAAACATGAAATACACAAACATGTGGCAACCTGTTCTTCTTACCAAATATAAACTTGTGTATGATCAAAGTATTTTGTCTGTGTCGTCTCTCTAAACCCAAATAAATGTGTAAATGTGGACACATCTCAGGCTGTGGATGCTCATTTCTGACTTTGTCGCGTGGCGGAGATGATTTTCGATGAATTGCCTGAATAAAGGGCCCTTCACCCTGTCATGGAGCTCAGGGTGCCTTGGGGTCTTGGCTGGGGAGCCACTCCCCCCCGCCCGTAGCTTCCGAAGGTTATTGTTGCCCTAAGCTGGTTTCTCTTTCAATCAGAGGCAATCTTTTTGTGCAGCATTATTATGGAAATTTTCACATTACATAAAAAAGTGCAGAAGATGATATAATAAACTCCTACATAGTCTTCACCCAGCTTCAACATCTCCTGATTCAGAGCCTGAGTCTTGCTTTGTCTATTCCCTCCCAATAATAAATTATTTTTATATGGATCCGTAAAAGATACGGGCTCTTAAATGTCCTCAACTCCACTACCACAGCTAAAACCACAATAATCTTGCTATAATGATATCAAATATCCAGGTGGTGTTCTCATTTCCCCAATTCTCAGTTTCATAGCAAAGCCCGTGGCCTGTGGCCCAGGAAACCCCGCGAGGCTGTGTGTTTCTGGGCTGCGGGGATGTCACAGTTCAGGCGTGCAGTACGATGCCACACGGGCATGGCTGTGCATATGCCGTCGTGTATTTTCCATTGTGTTGAGTTGATTTCTGGGCTGTGGGCCTCTGTGTTCAGGGGCTTTTCTCCCAGGCTCTCAGGAGCAGAGGCTACCAAGTGTGAGCTAGGAAGCCGTAGGCATTTAGTAGGTGGAGTATATATCCAGTCCAGGCTTCCCCAAAGGCTGGAGACGCTCTTACAGGTTTTTTGCTGGGGTAGAGAGAGTATTTCAGACAGGTGCTGGGGGTGGAAAGACATAAAAGGGAAGAGGATGAGGTTTCTAGCTAATTTCAATACTGCTTGTAGGGGAACCAGCAGACAATAGCCAAATGAAGAGGACACCACACATTCCTGCCTTCACATTATTCCCTTGGCCTAGAAGAGTTTCCCATTCCTCCTTGATTGGGGAGCAATCTCGCATGGGCGTTGAGAGCTCGGGGACCAAATCACAGGGCCACCACGGACCAACTGTGAGGCCCAGAGCACATCGACTGACATCCCTGACTCTGTTTCCCAGCTTTGCAACAGCAACCTTCTTCACAAGGTTTTTGTGTGGATTAAATAAAACATATGTACAGCACTTATCATGGCGCCTGGAACCCAATAAGCACTCAACAAATCTTATTCTTGTAATGATGCTGTTAATTCTATGTGAATTGTGCAAGTGAGCTCATGTCACCTCCTTAAACACTTGCCCTCCTGGAAATTCTCCAACTGCTCACTCTTGGTCAGTACAGCTCATGGGCACCTACCTAGCAAGTTCAGACTAGCGACATTATCCTTGGCATTGTCTTCAGTGTACCCAATGTAGATTATAAACAAGTCAATTAACATCTCTCAGCTTAGTGGGCTAAAAGAACTGTTGCCAATTCCAATAAGGTGAACACACCTCACTCTAAATTTAAACCCCAGGCAATGTTCAGTTTAACGCAGTTTTTACTATCTCAGACATGGTCTGAGGTTCCATGTGTGTATTCCAGTAACAGCGCCAAGCAGAGCGGTCTTGCTCTTTTAATGTATTTGCCTATCAAAACACACATACATGATTACAAGTCTGAATATATGTCTATATATATCTATACATATGTCATAAATGTCATACACTTACATACACTTATATATGGCTATATAGATAAGAGTGCACACATACAATGATGCACTACAATGGAAATAAAATCTTATTTCAATTATTGACACCAAACAGGAGCAAACACTCACCAAATTGTTGCTGAAAACTCAGCATTTGTCCTTGAGGCCACATCAGAAGAATGAGAACAAGTGGTTTGAGAAAAAGGAAAGAGAAGTTTATTACTTTGCTGGCAAAGGAAGAAAAATGGTAG